CTTGACACAATGGATGTATCTATGGATTGTGATAAGAATTGTACAAGCCCCCACTAAAATGATTTTAAAAATAGTTATGGTTTCAGGAACAGATATATAAAGATAGGACTGTGTGTGTGTGTGTGTGTGTGTGTATAAACAAGGTAGCAGAGGGACTTTAGGCCTCTACTTTAATCTTACCTCAGTACAGAATGATTTGTTCTAATAGGGTGGCAATGTATGATACTCAACTTTCTGACACGATCCCTGAAGACAAAATGGGTACAAAAGCAAATGTGTTGAAGAAAGCTGATGGTCCCTGGCTATTAAAAGATATAGCATCTGGGGTCTTAAAGGCTTGAAGTTAATCAAGTGGCCATCTAGCAGGGAAGCAGCAATGCCCACATGGAAGAAGCACCCCAGCCTGTGTGACCATGAGGTGTCGACAGGAAGAGGTATCAGAAGTTCAAAAACAAGCAAGCAATTTGACATGAAAGAGCACAGACAAAGTGGAGACCCAAAAACCACTTGTGAGATAATTAGACAGACCCTCACAGAAGGGCCACAGGGAAGGGATGATATATCCAGCGTGCAGTATAGCACTGTTGAAACCTGTAACCATCCTCTATTTTTAATATTCCCTCCCCCTACTATTATGGTCTTAGTTTTACCTCATTAATCCTGTTACACATGAATATGTTTGCATGTATAATTAAGATCATTCGATGCATGAAATCCAAGATAGACAAACCGTTCAAGAATCTAATGGGAGTAATGATTCTCTGGGGGCACAGAAAGAAGCGGGGAAAGGGGGTAGGGGCACCTGATAGCAATGATGACTCTATAAGCTCACTGGAGGGGAACAAACCACAGAAAGGCAGGTGAATGGATACATGGGAGGTTATGTGTAAGATACAGTGGTTGGGGGGTGTGTGTTTGAAAACAATAACATTTAATATAATAACAAGGGTTCCTGGGGTTAGGGTGGGAGAGGATGGGAATACAGGGGAGCTGCTACCAAAGATTGCAAGAAAAAAGAAAATGTTTTGAAAATGATGGTTACAGCAATTGTATAATCATGACTGATCTAATTGAACTATGGATCGCTATAATATCTGCAGGGCTCCCAATAAAATGGAGGGAAAAAAAACATATTTTTAGTAACATCAAAATAAAAACAGAGTTACCGTTTCAAAAACCCACAGACACCTATTCTGTAGGGTGGCTTGGGTCAGGGCTATGAGTCACCTGGATGGCAGTGAGTAAGGGTTTATTTTTCTTTGGGGGGGGGGGTTCGTTTGTCTCTTTGTTTTAGTCTAAAGGTACAGACTCCCAGGGGCAGGAGTTCTCTTACTCATTGCATGTCCCCACTGCCCTCAGCGCCGGGAGACCTGATGTAGGTGTCCCTGGCTATGAGAACTGGGTGTGCCGTGTCTTCTTCCCTGGAGGGGCACCAGCAACGTCTGCTGGAAGCTTGCTATGTGTTAGCCACCAGGTGAGTGTGTAACATGAATTCACTCCTTCGGTGTCCACACAGCGCCAAAGCAGGAGCTCCATCCAAACCCGGCAGCTGAGGGCCCCACAGGTTACGGGCCAGGAGATAAATTAGAGACTTTCTACCACCAGGAGGATTTATAGTCTCTGAAACGCACGGGGGCAGTTCTTCCCTGCCCTTAATCTAGGGTCGCTGTGAGTGGGAATCCACTCCTGGATGACTTTGAGTTCAGGTTGTGGGTTTTTCGGGTTCTATGGCCCGCGCTCTTACCCACCACGCCGAAGGCTCCTCTTGAGTCCGCCACCCC